GTTCTCTCTGTTCTCAGTTCTCTCTGTTCTCAGTTCTCTCTGTTCTCAGTTCTCTCTGTTCTCAGTTCTCTCTGTTCTCAGTTCTCTCTGTTCTCAGTTCTCTCTGTTCTCAGTTCTCTCTGTTCTCAGTTCTCTCTGTTCTCAGTTCTCAGTTCAGTTCTCATGTTCATCCCATACAGCCATCCACTTTTAACATGAAGTTTGTTTTTATTAAATATAGGTTGGTCGTTCAATAAGTAAAGACACAAACGTGAAAAAGCCAAACTACTTGGACCTAGAAAAATCATACCCTAGGGCATTTTAATTTTGAAATTTGGCAACACTGCTGTCCATGAGCAAACATCTGTGTTCGGCGTGCTGTCGTCAGATTTTTAAGCGCTGAGGGTGTTAATGGCACGGAAATTTCCAGAAGAATGAGTGCTTAATACAGGACAAGCTGCACGAACCGAAGGAACGTCTAGAAACGGACCGACCGTCGAAGAAAATGGAAAATTCGACCGGCCGTCCTGAGAAGTGAGCATCAGGAAACTCATTTCGGCCTTCGTTAAACCTTTTGATCCGTTTGAAGACGTTCCTTCGGTCCATCCGGCTTGTCCCGCGTTGAACACTCACTCTTCTGGAAATTTCCGTGCCACTAGCGCCCTCAGGGCTTAAAAATCTGACAGCACGCTGCTCTTCCAATGGGCATTTTTGCAGAGGGGCAGCCATGTTACCTACTGGCCACAACACACTTAAAACCGAACACGGATGCTTGCTCATGGGTACCAGTGTTGCCAAATGCCTGAAGTATAATGCCCTAAAGAATGTTTTTTCTAGGTCCACGAGGTGTCCCCTTCTTCACGTTTGGGTCTTTACTTATTGAACGACCCTCGTATATCTTGAAGTGAGAATCACACATGCATTTCTATATACTTTTCTTCCGTTTCATGGTGCGTGTTACTGCGTATTGCTCGTAAGAATGTGAAGAGGGCCTCCTGCACGCCTAACGCATAGGCACCCCACACACCATCGTTTAGGGGGACTATGCGAAATATCAGGCGGTAATCGATTAGACCCATTGAGTTCCGAGAGACCATGCTATCACTGGCCTCGGTCCTCGCAGATAGTGAGCAAGCAGTGAGGGATAGCGAGCGTTTAACGACCGCGACCGACTTTCCACCACCCATAGCTCAGGTGAACGAGGACCATCGCGCACCCCTGACGCCTCATCACGACAGTCCGAGTTTGGAAGACGTCAAGGGTAAGTGTGAATCACTCTGGTCCACTGTCAACCATGCTGCATACGCCTATGGGCACGATGATGGTACCTCTTTGTGTGAGATAGCCACAAAGGGACGCTCAGTCCGGAATCATGAACGAGAAGAGAGGAATTTTCATGCTGGTGCTGCTGTCGGTGTCGATCGAGAGAGGAGAATCCGTGGCGCAGCAGAAATTCATGAAGGTGAATCGAGGAGGGAGGGTCTTCCTCACTCCGAACCTCGTCCAAACGAAGGCTGGAAGCAGTACGGAGTGTGCCTTTCAGTGCATCGGCAACAGCAACTGCGTCGCCTTTCATTGGCTCCCTTCAGGTCAAAGTCACATAACCTATCAAAAGTCATTTGTAATGTGTTATGTATCCGTCGGCCTTCTGAATAGGAATATTCCCAATTCGATGATGCAAGGCATTCGTGGTTTATTCCTGTCATCTGAGCTTCCTGCAAAATCTTTTACCTTAACGGGACAGTTCCATCTGCGCACAGCAGAACTCATTTGAAACGGGAAGAGCCTCGGGGGGTAAAAGGGGGTACCATTCTCCCCCTTCCTCAACCGAAGTTCGAAAAGTAGAGAAATACCGAAAGTCGAGGACCAAAATGCGAGAAGTAATGGGGATTCGAAGGTACCAAATGTGGAAGGCCTTACGCGATTTCAGATATTACTATTTACAATAAAAATTATGAGGAAAACTCGGCTCATTGCATATTGTCACAAGGCTTCACCAAAAAAAGTTACAATGCAAAACTCAGGTATTAAAAACCCTCTTATTCGTGCAAATAATTTGAAACGCGCATCTGCAAGACATAAAGCACGAGAGAATGCATGATAGAAGAAGTTTGATGCTCTTAGCAGGAGGGACCTGCCAGCTGGTGCCAGGCGACGGCACCGTCATGGACGTCCGAGACGGAGGGGGATTGGAGCTCTACCAACCGGAAGCCATGGCCAAGGGTGAGACGCGAGAGCACACGTTCTGCCCATTGACCCTTTAAGAGACCTCATTTTACCCTCCTCTCGTCCCGTGTGCGCAGGTGAAAACAACATGTGCATCGGGCTGAGGTTCGGGCATGCGTGCGTTTTCCCGTTCACGTACCAAGGAGTGACGTACAACGAATGCACCAAAGTCGCATTCACCCAGTTCTGGTGCTCTCCCGTTCCCAATTATATTTCCGGGAGCGACGTGTACGAGCTTTGTCCCTTCTCCTGCCCCATCAACGACCCCTGCTGCTAGCCGATGCCTGCGTGTTTTGCTCTTTCCTTATCCCATGGAGATTGGCTGCCTCTAACCGGATCTGGAGCTCCTGCATCTCCAAAATGATGTGAGTAAATGGAAATCTGGAAATAAAGCATTGCTTCAACTACAAAACTGCAAGTTTCGACACGATGCCATCTCAGTTTGCACTTCATAGGTGTATCGACAAATGAACTAATGGCTCAACTAGGCCGAAGTCAGTATATACAGTCGTACAGGGAAAGGAAAAGTCTCGATGACTTGTTGAATGGTAATTATGGACTTAACTAGGTTTCTCCGGGTTTCTCCGGTCGGGGAGGTAAGCTTTCTGGATCATATTGAACGCAAATCTGACGAATTCTCTGACTCACCCGTAAAATAAATTCGGCAGGACTCACAAGGAAAGAATTTCCAGATGGTTTCAACGGAAAGGCAGCCACTCGCTTCCGTCGCATTTGGCATTAGATGCTATCTCCTCCGCGCGATCCGGATTCGTCGGGACATACCCATTCCGGCGCACATCTCAGACTTTGTGAGAACCGTCGACATGATTCGTGCCTCAATGATGAGGACAGATAAGGCAAGGAGTACTTATATAATTCATTGCCCATATATGAGGTGGACGTCACGACTCGGCTTCCGCGTAAGACAGAATCCAGATGGGTAAGATAGAATAAGTGTTTGTCTGTTATTCCCTCATTCACTCATTCGTGATGGGACATGCAAGGGTAAGGCACCGACGACGTTTGACCTAAATATATCTGCTCACACTGGAGTCTCACTTTGCATATATGAGAATGTGGGAAACTGTTTCGCAAAGTTTCATCCCAATTTCTTGAGCTGAAACAATACTACACGCAAATACTGAAAAGAAGTTAGATATTGAAAATGTATTAGAGTTGCTGGTAGTTGAGTATATGGCTGTCTTGCGCTGTCCACGCACAGAAATCAGTAAGATCGAAGATCTTCGGTCAATTATTGCATTTCGATTAATTTCCTTCCAAAAGGAAAAGGCATCAACGTTGAATTCCAATATGTCACTTTCCTATCGTATCAGGTCAGGCGTCTGCAAAAACCGAGACGCGTCTACATCCGAGTTGATGAGACTGCGCATCATCTAGACTAGGGGTGGGCAATTATTTTGGCTGAAGGGCCACTTCATGAGTTTTGATGAGTTTCGAGGGCCGCACGCGTACGTAAAGAGGCAATTGCATAAAAATAGCTCAATGTAAAGTCTTACACTTTTATATACGTAAAATGAAGAACATAATTGACATTTATTGAAAACGTGGCGAAAGAAAAACAAATTATTGAGCAGACATTTATTTATTTATTCACATATTGATGAGAATGTGAGAAATTCACTCAATGGGAAGAATGAAGGCGCTGATGTGCATTAACCAGGGAATTGAATTCAGGCATCATCTCAGTTGTTGCAATGCGAAGCACTGCTGATAGGT